CATAGTTACATACAGTATGTATACATATATAGTGTAACAAGGACACTCCACTGTAGACAGGAGGTGCAAGTAAAATGCAGTTTATTTAGGGCAAACACAAATATATAATTCCATCCACAGGGTAGACCTCCCCTGTGCACAAGACGGTTTCTAGCCGCAACATAAATTACAGTCTTTTAGCTTCGCTCGGTAGCTTTCCACAGCTTCAAGACACTCACGCTGCTCACCCCTCGTGAGCCCTCACTCTGCTCTCTTAGCAGTCTGTACCACAGGTCCTAGGATCCCCGACCTTCCTGACCTCTTTCCCCTCGTGGGCACTCACTCTGCTCTCCCAGCAGTGCGTCCAACAGGTCCCTTGGGTCACCGACCTTCCTGACCTCTCCCAGCCACCCCTGGCTGTTCCTTGTGCGTCAGCACGCACTCGAGTTTCTCTGTGTCCGTGTACTCCCTGCACACACAGAACTCCAACACTCCTCTCTGAGCCCCCAGGACTGGAGATCTCATCCCACCCAGAGCTCTACGAAATCTCCAGAGCTCCAGATCCCAGCTACAATTAGGAAAACCTGGAAGAACCTGAAAAGCCAGGCTCTTCCTTTTAACACGTTTCACATTCTGGACCCTCTCAGCCCCTTTGGCTGAGAGTCCTGGTGCCAATGTTGCCATGCAAGTCGCCGCATTGCCATGCACTGCCACAATAGTTAATGAAGGAATGTTTTTGATATGGATGGCTCATTTATCCTAGTTTTTTTTAACATTTTTAATAGTTATTGTTAGGTGAGCTGTCCACTCATAGTTCGGAGCTGTACACCAATTTTGGTGATGCTCATAGTTGCACTGGCGCTATGTTTTAACATATTTTTATGATCAATTTTTATAGGTTCTTATTGATAGTGAAAAGGGAACCTGATGCTATTTTCATAGAATTTTTTCTTTTTAATCATCTTCACTTTTCTTGAGATATACATGGATAGAGAAATTCATAAACGTTGTTAATAAAATATTAGGAAGTTCATGCACATTTTCTTTATGTCTGCTTAACCTAAAGATATTTTTCGTTATAAATAAATCAAAACAATATAAACCACCAAGCATGAATAGTACAAATAAACTATGAAAGAAACCCATAAAAATCCCTTTAGTTTGTTATTATTTAGTGGAAAAAATACAACATAGGACAAAATGAACAAGTGCAGTTGTAAGTAATGAGAAATGTCAATGGAGGACAAAATGTCTCAATGCAGAAGGTATCCAATGGGGTGGTATGAGAGAACACAGGCCAAAGTAGTAAGAATGTCAGTCTTGTTTCAAATCCTGGTAGCAGGGGTGGCAATATTTCCACTGACTAGCAGAGGAGACAAAAGTCTTATAACTAAAAACAGTTTAGTGGCTGACCATGGTAATAGGGCTCCCAGCCTAGTCATAAACCCAGTCACATCAGTCTCTGCACAGAGGAGCTTACACTTATATAAAATACCATCAGCTATAGAGGACTACAAATACAAGCAATACATAATACAACAATTTAGAATAGTAGTATATGAATTTGGTACATACAGTACTCTGTGCTGCAACTCTGCTCTGGGGTATCAGTCTGAAGTCTTTGGAAGAGGGTCGCAGGGGTGCAGAAGGTCTCAGGAGGGGAAGATGTGTGGCCGGCGGAAGCCCTGTAAGAAGGCGCCACGTGGTTCCCCACAAGGCTGCTGCGCAGCCCAATCAATTTGAAAAATGTAATTGCCGGAATGCAGAAGTCAGCGGGTTGACACATAGTGCAGAGGTCAGCAGTGTGAGGCACAGTGCAGAGGCCAGCAGTGTGATGCAGAGGTCAGCGGTGTGACGCACAGTGTGGAGGTCAGCGGTGTGACGCACAGTGCAGAGGCCAGCAGTGGGGGGGGGGGGG